GGTCCAGCCACAACAGATCCTCATGGACCTAAGGATATTGAATCCCTTTTCCAGGGAATGTTTTCAGCATCTATAAATCCTAGGAGCTTAGAGGACTTTCCTTTCCCAGGTTTGCCAGGCTCTCTGCCTCCATAGCCATGGGCACTAGTTGGTGACTTCCTTTTTTTTTTTTAGCAGAACCAGGGATTAAACTCAGGGCCTTGTGCTTGCCAAGCAAGTGCTTATTCTACTGAGCTATCTCATGGGCACTAGTTGGATTGGCACCTCCAACATGCCTCCTCCACATTTTTAAAATATTGCATGTCATTTAACAAATTTTCTTCATTAATGTTTTGTTTTGGTTTTTGGTGGTACTTGAGATTGAACCCAGAACCTTTGCAATGAGCTATTATCTCCAATCCCTTTAAAAATTTTTTGAGAGAGGGTCTTGCTAAATCCTTAATCTACCAAGACTGGGCTTAAACTTGTAATCTTTCTGCTTCATTTTCCCAGGGTGTTGAGATTACAGTCTTGAAATACTTAGTTATACTTAGGTATAGCTTACATACTTTCCTCTTTTACAGCAATACTATATGGAGTTATTCCCTGTCCCTTTTTGGTTGTTTTAGACAGGGTCTTACTAAATTGCCCGGGCTGGCCTCCAATTTGTGATCCTCCTGCCTCAACCTAGCTGGGATTACAAGTGTGTGCCACCACGCCTGGATATACCCCATTCTTTTTTACTACCACATGTAACTATAATTATTTATTTCCTTATTAACAAACATAGATTAGTTTTTCTATTACAATCTAAGAGAAAAATCTTTCAATGTGTGAGGTATGTAATGCCACACTTAAGTTACTATCTTTGTAAGATTTAAATTGATTTACTAAGGCTAACAGTATGTATACTTTTTTTTTTAATCTTTTATTTATTTGGTACGGGGTCTTGCTTTGTAGCCACCCCACCCAGCTTCTGTGGCATGGCGTGGAGCTGGCATGACATGCGGTACTGGGGATCGAACCTGAGTCTTTGTTCTTACCAAGCAGGCACTTAGACCGCTGAGCTATCTCCCCAGCCCAGTTTGTGTACTTTATAAAGAGCATAAGCATTTCTAATTCTCTGGTTGAAAGTTATGTCATTTAACAGCGAAGGAGGGTACTCATTTCTCCACACTGATCAATGCTAAACATCAACTATTTTAGTTTTGCAACACTAAAAGGCAAGAAATCAAAAGATACTTTAGCTTTCATGTTTTGGAACTTAGAGAAAGTGAACATTTTCTCCTGGATTTCTGTCTCCTTGCAAAGGTTCTCCTTAGAATCTTAACTAAAGGAATGTTTTGTGAATGTTTTGGTTTGTGTCTAGTTGTCCCCCTCAAAGCCTCCTGCAGTCATGGGGCAGACTTCTAGAGTTTGTGATTGACTCATGAGCCACTGGGATTATGAGTGTGAGTACTACACCCAGCCTGGGGCAGACAGCCTGAATGCAACTTAAAGGGCTTGTTCTCTGTAGCCATTGTTGCTGCTGCTCCTCCCTTCACTCTCTTGTTCCTCGCCACCGCCATGAATGGCTGCTCTGTGCTGTCAAGTGCCGCTCTGCCTTGGAGCCAGCCGAGTATGGACTAAAAGCTCTACTAATTGTGAGCTAAATAAACCTTTCTTTCCCTCATTTTGGGTACCAAGTATCTGTCCCAGCAACAAGGGAAGAGTGACTGAGACAATGTATGTAGCGGTGACAATTGAACCCAGGGCTTTTTCACTGAGCTATATAACTGTACTCAGAGCCTTTTAAAATTTTGAAACAAGGTCTTTCTAAATTGGTCTTGTTGGACACAAGTTTGATACTCTTCCTGCCTCAGCTTTCCAGACCTGGGATTATAAGCATGCACCATCCAGGCCAGCTGGCAACTGACATTTAGAAAAATGTTTGTCATTGTACAGATTGACTATCATAGGCATGTAGATTAAATCTGGCTACCATTTAACCCCTGATGTAAAATAGTCACCTTATTTTCCAAGAAAATATTAATGTTCATTTAATTATTGGGTTTAACTTCTGTAGGGAAAACACAATCCTAAATTCAAAATTCAGATATTTTTGGGTCTTTTTTTTTTTTTTTTTTTTTTTTGGATCTAGAAAATATTTTTGGGTCTTTTTTTTTTTGATCTTTTGTTGGATTTTTTTTTTTTTTTTTTTTTTTTTGTGGTACTGGGGATTGAACTCTGTACCTTGAGCTTGCCAGGCAAGCACTTATTCTACTGAGCTATCTCCCCGTCCCCTATTTTGGGTCTTTTTGAGACAGAGTCTCACTATGCAGTTCAGACTGGCCTTGAGCTCACTTTGTAGCCCAGGCTGGTCTTGAATTCACAATAATCCTCCTACCTCAGCCTCCTCAGTGCAGGGATTACAGGCATGTACCACCATGACCAGCTAAAATCCAGATTTTTAATTTGTGTGGGGTTTAGGAATGCTGAGGATCAAACTCAAGGCTAAGCATATACCATGGAGGTGCACCCCCAGGCCTCAATTCACAATGTTTACTTGAAATTTTAGAAAATATGTGAAGGGGAAAATATTTTCTCCCCTGTACCTCAATGAAAGATTCAGTAAGATCAATCATACACTTTACAGGAAGTATTTAATATTTATTTATCATTTAATATATGTCAATATTTATGTATATATAGTCTGAGTGAGTGAAAGCATTACTTTTAAGTTGAGCTATATAAAACTACCATTTTAAAGGCAAAGTGATCAAGGTTTGTCAGGAATGGTGGTGCATACTGTAATCCCAGCTCTTAAGAGACTGAGGTAGGATGATCCCCGTGAATCTAAGGCTCTCTTAGACTATATAGCAAGACCCTTTCTCTAAAAAGAAAATAAAGACAACTAGAGTTTTAGTAAATTGAAAACGTATCCATAAACATCTACTCCATAGGCAATTTGATTTAAAATATCCAGGTCTTCCCATAGGAGGGTGAGAACAATGACACTGAAGTACTCAGCTTCATATCAAGTGATTTTTTTTCTTTTCTTATCATCTGATTCAGGCTTCTTGCTTCATCTTTTTGTTTATCCAATTGCTCACTGCTGTGGGCGTTTGGGTAGCGGTTTTGGTGGCACCTGAATCAAAGGAAACAGCTGTGTGGCTCCCAAAGCCCGCCTGCCTACAGCAGCAGTGGTTCCGACCCTCCTTGGAGAAACCGTGTTGGTTCTGACTGGAACAATGACTAAGCCCTGACAGGCCGCAAGCTCCGGGCTGCACTGAGGTATGACACAGTACCTGTTTGGTGAAGCGACATTACATAACTGCTATCTTTGGCCTCTCCAGCCAAATGAATCATCAGTTTCATGGGGCCTTTTGTCAACATCATTATCCCTGTCACCTCCAATTAGCATTTGCAGAGCACCCACATGGAGATGACACTGTGTTTTATACCTGACAGAACACAAGGAAGACAGAGACTACAACTGATAAAGTAAACTGTCAGAAGTGTACATCTGAATATGAACCACTGAACAAACATACCTGTAAATCCGAGCCTCTCTAGCTCACACTGGTAGAATAAACTCACCCCACAGAAACTCATCCTGGAGCTTCACAATGGCTCTTTGTGTTGTAAAGAGGATGAGACACATGGTCTTCCCACACAGAAAAGGCTCCGCATCTCTCTGGGGACCCCAGGATTAGGCTGTAAGGTTTGAATGGGTCCCTGATGACTACCGAGTCATCCTTGAGCAGTAGGTGACAAACCCTGACCCCCCCAAGCACACATGCCTTTATAAAGTAGGGGAATATGCAGATTCTCGGGATAATTCCATAGATTAGAGTTATTTCCATAGGTTAGTCAGGGCAAATCTTTTAGAGCTTAAATTGATACCAACAGCCTGTTGTGGCATGTGTGCCACAGGTTTGTTACCAGTGTGGGAATGTTGGGGGATTTCATAAAGAAATTCCGGAATAAGGACTACGGGTGTAGCTCAGTGGCAGAGCACATGCTTGGCATGTACACGCTGGGTTTGATCCCCAGCATCAGAAAGAAAAGACTGAGGAAGAGGGGGAGAGAGCGGGGAAGAAAGGAAAGGAGGAAGGCAGGCAGACAGGCAAAGAAAAAGGGATAGAGAGAGGAGGAAGAAATTAATTCCGGAATAAATACACTCTTTAAATTTTCTCAGGAGGACTATTATACAATTATTTTCCACTTGATTGTCCATGGTTAAAGAGATTTTAGGTGTGTACTGGAGTTGAACCAAGATCACTTTTTCTGCTGTCACCATTCTAATTTTAAATTGTCCCCTTGTTGTTTATGTACTCCCCAGTCCTTCTTGTATCAGATGGAGGCAGAATGGAAAGAAAGTCTGGACATCAGAACTTATTTGTGACTGCTGGAAGGGTAAACACCTGCCTGACAAGTACACGCAGGCTTTCTGCAGGATTTAGACAGGGTCATTCCAGCTCATAAGCAGGGCGTAGGTCCTTAACTTTCAGCCTGCTATCTGGAATGAAACAATCTGTGTGATGTGATTGAAAAATAGGGTGAATTTTTAAAAAATTATTGCAGTAAAAGACACATTACTACTAATCCCCCTCAAAACACTCCCTCTTTTTGAACACATGCGCCCCCTTATTCTTGCCACTTTTTGAAGCCATTCTGGAAGTCCTCTGGCATGTCTTTTGTCACGCTGTTGTGGCTGCCTCGATGTACTGAATCCGTTCAAAACATTTATCTTTCATGGTCATTTTGACGTTGGGAAAGAGCCAGGAGTTGCACAGGGCCAGATCCAGTGCACAACATGCATGAGGACGCACAGTTGTGCTCTGCACAAGCCTGCCTTTGCCCTGAATCGACCTCCACAGCAGCATTCACTGTATTTTGTTATCATACTTTGTAGACATATTCCCAAAACAGAGCTTCAGAAAAATGTCAAGAATAATGTGATAAGTGTGTTTCAAGGGTATCAGGGACTCTAAATTATAAACTGAGTCTAGATGATGATGGAGCCCATCCTTGTCCTACATTTTGGACCAGCTTGGAATGTGGAAAAACCCCACTTTCTGTCAGCCAGCCCTGAGATTTTGATGATTGGTGAGGCTGTGGCATGCGCAGCGCAGGATGGGATCTGCTGAGGATGATCCAAGGGTGGCACTCGTGCCCCGGTATCAGAAAGGGTCTTGTTTCTTTTGTGATCTTGTCCCTTCTACTACTACTTCCACACTGTGCCAGGAAAAGCATCCTTCCTCTCCCCTTGCACATCTCACTGGCAAAGTAAAAGGGGGCAACTGAAGTGGTCTTAGTCTTTGCCCATCCTGAGACACCGACCTCCCAGCCCCCCTTTTGTGCATCACTAAATTTGTTCTGTTTTTCCTTCATCCTTCACTGTAGCCCCGCATACAGGCAGTTGGGGGTCTTGGCTAGGTCCCCCAGAATAAGTGAGGGAAGTATTTTGAGGAGGATTAAGGGCAATGTCCTTTACCTTAATACATTTTTACAAATTTAAAGTCACCGTATGTTTTGGTCATATCTCATATCTTTAGAAAGTCCTCAAAGAAAAAAAAAAGCCCTCACTTGGTATTTGGGCTGATACCAGACAGGTACATAGGTGTGACAACACCTAAAGGGGGTACTATGTACATGGTCCAGTCAGAGCCTAACTCCTGCAGGCCACAACATTTTCCTAGGAAGCCAACCACACACCTGAACTGGTGCCAGAGGTAACCTGGTCTTCCTGCCCACAGTCCAGTGCCAGGCACAGAGAGACACTGGCTCCTCCTAGTACTTTGCAGAGGGCAGCCTGGGGAAAAGGTGGGGTCCAAACAGCCTCTGGTGTGTGTGTCTGCCTAAATAGATTTCTGTTCCTCAGCTCCCTGGACATGCCTGGTGTTATCTTTGCTTGGGGTTAGAAAGTAGCTGCTGCAGTTTTTGTTTAAATGTTTATGGCCAACGTTGAAGCAGAACATGAGGAAATCAGCACTCTCCTGCTGTTTGACCATGAAGGTCTGTGGTCCCAGGGATAGGTCAGCAGGGACAACAGCAGGAGCGGCGGCTCTAACTGTGGCTAAGAAAGCAACATGGAGGTAGAAGGCAAGGAGCAGGGGTTGAAGCACTGGGTGCTCTCTATCCTTCCCCCTTCTGAGGACACGGGCATTGCAGTGTCACGTCAGAGTGGGCTCCCCTGTGGTATCCTGTAAGCAGAGGAGCAAGCACTTCGGGTGGTAACACAAGAAAGGAAAGAACTGTCTCTGCTATCCTGTGCTCCAAGAATGGCATCTCCAGTCACTGCTTACTCGGGCCATTGGATGGGAAAATATAGAGTCGCGAAGCTTTAGAGGGTCAGCGAGATAGCTCAGGGGTAGAAGTGCCTGCCCAGCAAGTGCTAGGTCCCAAGTTTTATCTCCTGTACAGAAGGAAAAAAAGCTTTAGAAAAAATAAAATGTATGTCTGTGTTATTCATTGGCTTCTAAAACACAAACTTCTAACCAGGTGTAGTGGTACACACCTGTAATCCCACACTCAGGAGGCTTAGGCAGGGGGATTGCTTCAAGTTCTACACCAACCTAGGCTACAAAGTGAGTCCAACGCCGTCCTGAACTGCATTGCGAACCCCTGTCTCAGAAAACAGACAAACAAACAAATCACAAACTTTGAAGAATTTGCAGTGAAAAAGATCAATAACCCAACGGAAAATGAGCAAAGGACATGAATGGTCTATTTTAGACAAAAATACAAATGCGCAACATGAAATTGTAATAAAATTCATTAATGAGGGAACATGAGAGTCCAAGGCAATGTGTCAGGTGAAAGGAGCTGGACACAAAAAATTCATATGGCATGATTCATTTAGATCATATCCTAATAAAGGCAAAACCACAGTCACAGCAGACGCGGGGGCAGGGGAGGGTGAGCAAGGGGACTTGGGAGAGATGGAGATGTGTTGTGATTGGGACATGGTGGTAACTGCATTTTGTATGTATGTATTCAAACATGCACCCACTTAAAATTTATTAATTTTACTGTATGCAAGTGCTACCTCAGTAAAGCTGACAATAGAGGTTCTAAAACTTAATAAAGCAAACTCCTGGGTCAAGACTGTTTGGCCCAGGAAATTTCCTTAAAGTCCATCTGGTTCAGCCCCCTATTATGAGGAAAATGGGAGGCCTGGAGAGAAAGGTTAGTAATCACATAACCTGCTAGACCGAGGTGGTGCCTTACCCTAGTACCCAGACTTGTGTCTTTTTTGTTTTGTTTTTTAATGGTAGAAAAATTTACTGGTGAATAGGAATGGGGAATATGAACAGCTCCTGAGAGACAGGGGACACCAAATGGCTTTCCCCACTTGCCCTAGACCTATATCTTGTTTTTTTTCTTTTTTTCTTTTTTTTTTTTTTTCTTTCTTTCTTTCTTTCTTTCTTTCTTTCTTTCTTTCTTTCTTTCTTTTTTTTTTTTTTGAGACAGGGTCATGCTGTGTGATCAGTCTGGCCTTGAACTCATGGTGATCCTTCTGTCTCAGCTCCCCACGTGCTAGGATGACAGGCGTGTGCCACCACACATGGCTACCAAACCTGTATCTTGTTTTCCCTTCTTTTTTCCCCTCTGACTCAGTTCCTTCCCTTTGTCCTTTCTTCCCGCTCCATCTCCTTTTTTTCTTTCCAGAGAATCTAGACGTAGACCACCACACAGGGTCTGATGCCAGTTTCTAAGTCTGTAATCTTTTCTCCAGTGTCCTCAGATGAGACCAAATTAGGCACTGAGGTGACCAGAGATCTTTTCAGTTCTCTTTCTGTTCTGCCATCTTCCCCAGCACATTTAACCTGTAAACTCTTGACACAAGCAATACACAAGTACCATAAAATAGCTTGCAGATGTGTAGACCTTTCATTTTAACACATCTCCATTGTGTCCAGCAGAGTGGCAGACCCGCGTGGGAGACACGTATTAAGAGATTTATTGCAAAGAATCAGCTTATGCAATTTTGGGCTGGCCAGGACAGGCGGAAATCTGTAGGGCAGGCTACCAAGAAAAACATGCCAGAACTCCCCAGCAGAATCGAGTCTTTCCTCCTGGGAAAGCCTCAGCTCTACCGATGCTGCGCTCTGCTTGCACAGACAAAGAAAGATGTCCACAGTGTGACACTGAGGGTAAAATAGAAGAGGTGGCATTTTTTTTTTTTTAATTGCAGTTCAGATCCTTAAAAGCTTGAAATGATCTTCAGTGATGCAGAGGGAATGGCTTCTGTACTGGTTCTGTGAACATGTGCATTTTAGTCCCTGAGAAAGAACTCAGGGGAAGTAGTGTTGGGTTAAATTTCAAAGGCTGCAGGACTCCCCCATGACTGCCTCTCTGAGTGGCAACATCCACCCTTATCAAAAGCACCAGAGCACTCACTGTGCAGGAGCCTGTGGTCAGCGTATGGTGATAGGAACCCTCGGAAACTGGAGCCATACACCAGGTCCCAGGAGAGTGAGCTGGAGCAGAGCCAAGGCACTGATGGTGGCCCTCCTGATTAGGGCAAGAGCACCTAAATCAGCCAGCGCACAGTCCATCCGTGACAAAGGGCACCCTACAACCT